AAACAATTGGGGAAACAATTGGCAGCTTGATGCCCTACTGTAGGAGAGAGAAATTCTGGAGGGACTAGTTGGGACTAAAGCAGTGGATAGGGACCTGATTCAGGGGTAACTTTTTGGTAGTCTAACCAGGCTCTTGATTCATGATTATTTCTTGGATGCATACTATATGCTAGACACTGTTCTAGAAGCTGGGGATATAGCAATAAACAAACATATAGTCTCTACTATCCTTGAACTTATAGTTGAGTGGATGGAAACAGGCTGTCAGGTGGTGATAAGTGCTAAGAAGAAAAATAAAGCAGGGCCAAGGGATGGTTGGGTGGGGCTATTTTAGATAGGTTAGTGAGGGAATGTCTTTCTCATAAGGGTGCATTTGAGCAGGGACCTGAATCAAGTGGTGGAGCTAGTTGTGTGGATAGCTGGAGGACAATCATGCCAGCTCAAAGGAACAGCCTTGGAATGGCTAAGTTGGAATTGGGTCTAAGGAACAGGAAGGGGGCCACAGTGGCTGGTGCTGGGTGAGCCAGGGAAGAGTGGTGGGTGATGGGGCTGGAGAGTTGACTGGAGGCAATACTGTGTAGCGCCTTGTAGAGAGGGAGGTGGGAAGTGATGGAAGGTTTTGAGCAGAACAATGATATGATATGACTTAGGATCACTCTGGCTGCCGTGGTGTTGAATAGAGTGTAGGCAGGCAACAGAAAAAGCAAGGAGACCAGTTAGGAGCCTATCGTGGAAGTCCAGGTCAGAGAGATGCTGGTCCGTCTAGGGAAGCACCGGAATGGAGGGACATATGGAGGGATACAACTGGATTCTAGATATATTTTATAGCTATAACTAACAGGATTTTCTGGTGGATTGGATGTGGAGTATGAGAAAAAGAAAGGAGTTAAGGATGACTTCAATTTTGTTTGTTTGTTCCCGAGCAACTAGAACAATGTAATTGCCATTTACTGAGATGGGGAGACAAATTTTGGAGGGAAATCAGAAGTCTGGTTTTGGACATGGTACATTTAAGATCTGATTTAAAATCCAAGTAAAGATGTCAAGTAGGTTATTGGTGACAGGAATCTGGAGTTTAGAAAGCCAGGTTAGGTATAAAATGAGGCTCTGGTGGAAACTGAGGACTCAGTTCATTCCACAAGCCTCATCTTGTTCTAAATACATGGTTAGAACATCTTCACCAGCCCTGGAATCAACTGAGCATCAGAGGCATGCTTTGAACCACAGATTGCGTGGCCCATGGATGAAAAAGCTACACTCTGTCCTCCAAGTCCAACTAGCAATTCATTTTTTTAAAATAATTTTATTTATTTATTTTTTTTCCCCCAAAGCCCCAGTAGATAGCTGTATGTCATAGCTGCACATCCTTCTAGTTGCTGTATGTGGGACGCGGCCTCAGCATGGCGGGAGAAGCGGTGTGTCGGTGCGCACCCGGGATCCGAACCCGGGCCGCCAGCAGCGGAGCGCGCGCACTTAACTGCTAAGCCACGGGGCCGGCCCTAGCAAGTCATTATTAACCCAAGTTTATCAACTGCCTATTGTATGCCAGGCACTGTGCCAAATGTCAGGTATTCAGTGGAGAACAACACCTGCTCCTTGTCCTCATAGAATGTCTAGTGTTGTAGGGGATTCAGACAAGAGAATGGAGATTTCAGTACAGTGCACAGGGGTACATATAAGGGTGCAACTGGACATAAAGGGGAGGCACCTAATCCAGACTTGGAAGGCAGAGAAAGTGCTATCTAAGCTGACTCCTGAAGGATGAGTAGGGATAGCCAGGTAAAGAGGTGAGAGAGAGGGGTGGAGAGTGTTCTAGGCAGAGAAAAGAGCATGTATCAAGCAAAGAAAAAGTCTATTTTAGGCAAAGGACAAAAGTTGAGTTTAGCATGTCTAGAGTGCAGAGTGGGGGTAAAAGCAGAGAGAGGCAAGTAGTGGCTGGAGAGGTAATTAGGAGCCACACCATGAAGGATCTTAATGAGCAATGCTGGGACTTTATTATGAAAGCTACAGGAAGCCTTTGAGGAGCTTTGAGCAGAGGAAGGTGGCCAGTGTGAAGAGGGGATTGGAGGGAGGCAAGCCTGGAAGCAGTGACATCAGAGGATTGGGGATAGCGGCAATCTCAGACCCATACTGCCCTAAAACATCACCTATAAATGTGTCCATAACATGAAGCAGGGCCTGGGTCTGCTTTGCTTAACCTCAGCTAATGGGAGATGCTCTCCAAAAACTCATTACTTTGATGGAAAAGAGGTACAAGATGCCTACCTTTCAATAGGGGGCCAGGGTGTGAGAGGAAGCAAGGTGAAGGGCAATTCGAGGATGGGCCAGCCTCCAGAAGGGCCAGCTCTAGTCATGAGGGGTCGGGGAAGCCAAGATTGGAAAGCAACAAGTTATAGTCTTTCTAGGTACATCTTGCTTTGTGTAATGGGTGTGCTGTGCAGTGTGTTTGGACAGGGCCTGGATCCTGTGTGCAGGTTCTGAGTGCTGGGTGTGTGTTTGGGAATGGATGTTTGTGATGGGAAGTTCTCTCTGAGTCTGTGTGAATGTGCAAAACTCTGGAATGCATACTGTGCAAGTACATACCTGTAGTCAAAAGGCATATGCGTGCCATACATGCTGTGAGAGAGCACATGCCTTTTGACGGTCTGTGTTCTCAAGACACAGTCTCAGACAGAACAAGCTGTGGATTCTGTTCAAATGGAGAAACTCTTTTGGTTCACTTTGCACACAGCAGGCCCTCATATACTTGTCAATGAATGATTGTTTCAGTTTTATTCAATCAATCATTTTAGGAAATACATAGGTCTGGTAACAAGTTTGAACTAGATGTTTTAAGAAAAATAAACTCACAGCCAGGCACCAACATCCATTTACGAAATCTAGCAGTTTAAATATTGTAATAGAGTTGTTATTTACTAGCTCAAGTCCCACCTCCTGTAAAAAACTTTCACTATTTCATTGTATCCAACAAATATTTACTGCACACCTCAGCGACATAGCAGCACTGCGTTGTTGCTACCTGAACTCATTTCCCTCTCCTCTGAGCCACCTTAGACTGGGTGCTGCAATTAAAGCTTAATTATATGCTATCTTGTATTGTTCCTTAATTGTGGCATGTGCATTAACCAACTTCCAACTAGGTTGTATGTTGCCTGGGGGCAGACACTATATTATAAATTTCAGGAGAGGTGAGGAACGTAGCAGAGAGATGAATATACAGAAGTGAGTAAATGCCCATTGTTGGAGGAAAAAGAGAAACAACATAAAGCTATTTATGAACTGTAGTAATACATAATATAGAATAAGATACCTTATGAAGGAACACATGTTATTGTTAATTAACTAAAATATTCCTTTAATAATGAAATGGAACATTTGAATCTGTGTTTTCATGTTAAAGGATGGCTTTGCGTATTGATGCAAAACAAGAATGTTTCCTTGAAAATGACAGTTAAAAAGTAGAACCAATCTTTGGCGAATTATCCTATAGCAGGATTTCTCAACAGTGGCACTATTGACATTTTAGACCAGGTAATTCTCTGTTGGGCGGGCTGTCCTGTGCTTTGCGGGATGTTTAGCAGCATCCTTGGCCTATTCTCACTAAATGCTGGTAGCCACCTCCCCCCCACCCCTCCAGTTGTGACAACATGTCTCCAGAGATTGCCAAATGTCTCCTGGGAGCAAAAATTGCTCCCAATTGAGAACCAATGATAGATAGGAATTTTGGTTCTCTTTAGATATTTTTCTTATTTAACAAATAGTGGGAGATGGGGGAAGGGAAATTTTACTGCTTATTTGGTCTAGGCACTATAACTATGTTTTTTTATTTCATCTTACAGATAAAAAAGCTAAGGTTCAGAAAGATAAAAGAACCTGCTGAAGATCATAAAGTTTGTTCAGCAGTTAAATCAGGACTGCAAGCCAGGCTGGTCTGGCGGCAAAGCCTTTAGTCCTTTCCAGCACACTCCCCACTGCCTCTCGGCAAGAAAAACAGCGTACCTCAAAATGAAGGTGAACTGCAGATTCAACAAGCATGCTAAAAATATTTTAAAACTTTTTAGAGTAATGACTCTTCTAGTCATTATAGTTATTTGAATATGAATATATATGAACATACATATAGACACTGGGGCCCTTCACTACCTGTGGCTTTTCTCTTATCTCTGAAAAACATAGAGCAACACAATGGACAGCTTCAATTCTTGTTACAAATTATACAGAAGCCAAAGCCTAACGGTGCCAAAAGCAACCGGTATTGTTTACATAAGGGCTGAAAGCTAATAGTTAACTTTCTCCCATTCCAGAAACAGTAAATAACGCCTCACTTTGCAACTACAAACCAGTAAAATGTCATAAAATGGAGAAGAAAACATTAACTCAAAGCAAAATGGAAAGGTTGGTTCTAAGGCTCCTTCGCGCGCGCGCTTTCGCTCCCGCTGCGGGCGGGTCTCGCTGCGCGGCCTGGGTCTCTATCGCCCCCGCTAAGCTCGGGTCCGTGGCGCCTGGAGGGAGCTTTCTGGCTTCTTTTCCCGCCCTGGGGCGAGCTCGGCCTCTCTCGGAGAAGCCTGTCTCAGAGCCAGGACTGGGAAAACAACAGCAAGAAACTTTGGCTCGGTTTGCGGTTCAGTGAAAAAAGGCAAACACTGAAGTTTGCTTCGGGGCTGCGGCCGTCGGTTCCGATTTGGGGGTGGGGGTGGGGGTGGGGGTGTGTCACAATTCGGTCAGGTTCAAGTGCGCATGTGCGCGAGAAGTGGCTGGGGCACTTATTGAACGCCCACTGTCTACGCGCGCCGGGGGTGTGTATGCGGGGCGCGCTGGGGGGTGGTGTGTGGAGGGCGCGGGCGCGCGTGGCCGGCGTGAGGCGCGCACGCCGCGTGCCCGCGCGGCGCCTGTGGCTGGAGACCGGGGCTGGGGGGAGGGCGGCGGCGGGGTGTGTGTCCCCGATCTCGCTCATTCGCTGGCTGGCTGGCGCGCTCCTCCGCTCCCTTCCCGGGCGGGGAATCCGGGCCGGGTTGTGGCCGCAGCCGCGTACGTGAGCGCAGTGTCCCGGAGAGGGAGGGCAGGCCGGCCAGGTGGGCGCGAACGCAGCCTCGGCGGGCGGGTGGCCGGAGCGG